CCTAACCTCTCAATCTCACTATCTATTCTCATCTCAAAAAAAAAAAAAAATTACTTACTGTGTCTGATGTTGATGACGCGATGATATTGATAGCTGAAATGAACAGAAATTTAATCAATGTTATTTAATGAAATAGAATGAGATGACTTACCCTAATGTTATCTTTTTCTTCATTGTTTATTCCCTAAAATAAAAAAAAATAATAAACAGATCAAAGGAGGCCTTACCCCACCATCCTTATGATCGTAAAATAAAAAAAAAGTGAAACTGATACCGACATTTTTTTTTTATTGTATGGCTTGATCTTGATTTGAGTAATTTTGTATCATTGAGGCCAATCTAAAACAGAAAAAGAGAAATTATTATTATTTGATTCAAAAATTGGAATGACTTTACATAGGAAATCATTCCTATATATCCTTGAAAAATCATTTTTTTCTCTCGTCGAAAATGATATACATATTTAATTGTACATGTTGATCATTCATCGTCAATGATAACAACATGAAGAATGATTTATGAACGAGAGAAAGACAAAAAAAAACAAAAAATTCTTCTCTTCACATATATTTCTTTTTTCTTTCCTTTCTCTCTTGCTAACATTAACATATATAATGATTTATTTATGAATTTTTTTAGATTGTATCTCATTTGGAATGAAAATGAAATTGTTTTGTTTATTTTTATTAATGATAATCAATAACAACATTTATGTTTTAGTTAAAACAGTTGCTTTTTTCGTTAACATACTTAATGTTAAAAAAGTTGATTCAATTTCATAGACTGTCGAAAAAAACAAAACAATGAAAGTTTTTAAACACTTAAATTTTTACAATAATATTCTTTTTGGATGAACATATCTAAATATCAACAAAATTTTAGATCAAAATAATTCATTACAGAAGTTTGAAAAAATCTTTCTTTGTTAGGTGGATTTATTACAACAGAAAAGAATGAAACAAGAAATATTCTTCATTTGAATAAAAATTATTTATATCGACATACCTATTCTATACACATCAAGATCAACAAAGAAAAAAGATTAAAAAATGTATATATAATAATGTTTTTAGTGATTTGGAGAATTTTATGTTTAATGAATAATGTTGATAAATCCATGTGTACAATTAATTTAACTAATAATTAAACAGCAACATCGTCAGATTTCTTCATTATTATTATTTTCATCATCAACATATGATTAATAGTCCATTACTTGATTTATTATTCAATACAACTATTAAAATGAGTATGTGTTAGATGACAATATTGTTATAAAGAACAAAATATTAACATATATAATTAGTATTTAATTGGAATGGAATATAAGAGAAATCGAATGAAAATTAATATTAATTTTACAATATTATTAAATATTATTCAAGTAAGATAATTATTCAATGAAATATATTTTACTAGTTAAAAAAAAAATTATAGAGTCAAAAAAAATACATCATAAAATGATTAAGTATCAACAGGCTCGATATTTTTTCAAGATTTTACTAGTCAGATGCTTAAAAAAAAATCTATGTATAGTTTTTCTACAAGTATTATTTGATTGTTCGATACGATAACAAAGTCTGAATACAAACTCGCTTCTCAACAATCAAACAATAGCTTTCAAAAAGAATGCATAAATGTTTTTCTGCTTGTTTATCAGTCGAATAAAACCATTAGAAAAAAGTTATCGAGTTTAACGAGATTTGATACCTTTGACGTATTTCAATTTTCATAGACTATTATGGAATTCTTCTTGTACTAAACCAGAGTTGCTAGATCGAAAAATTAGAAATCGAAATATTTTAACCAAAATTCGGAATTTTTTATATTCTACTTCGGAAAAAATTCGGAAAGCAGTTGTTCCATTATCAGCTATATATACCACCTCTTTTATGGACATATGTGTTGCTCTATCAACATTTTGTGCAAAAATTGTTGCCGATATACTTATTTCTTTCTTCAATCTCACTTAAATTCACATCTGAATCATCATCTTCATTATTCATGGCTGAATTTAATTCAGGATAACAAGAGACAATTTTCATGTAAAAAAACACTTTTCTAAACTTAAAGTTCAGTCCATGTCAAAGAAGTTATTGATTCAAATGACATTTTTTTTAAACAATACATAGTATTCATTGAGTTCGGATAGATGCTAAACTCAAACGATCTTACATTATAAATAGTCTCAAAATTGTATTATGGAATGATTACAGTAGAATAACGACAGCGCATGAATTGCTAATGAATGTTAAATTAGAAGTCATAACCAAAGTCATTAAATCTCGAATCTAGAGAAATAAAAGGCTTCAAAAAAATATTCAAAATTCGGAAGATCTGGCAGCCCTGTACTGAACAAATCATTCATATTGTACAGTAGCGTGCGACATAGGTCAAAATTCTTGTGATCCGATTGGAGTCGGACACTTATTGGATTTTAATTGCTATAGTGATAGACTAGTTTAATTTTCTTGTATTAAATTAACTCATCTATACAGATCGTTACTTGCATTTTCGAATGAACTATTTTTTTGTAATCAATTTCAATATTATTTTTCATATAACTTTTATTTTTTTCTAATAGATTTTAGAAAATTTTATGCTAAAACAATGGAAGCGATTCATACATTAGATTAAAAAAAAAAGAAGCCTCGTTTTTATGCTTATCTTAAGGTAATTTTATTTCATTGAATAGATAATGTAAAAAATAAAAATTATTTCGAATAGATTCGTGAACATAACATTGAATTAGGTGAACAGTATTGAGCTGCATTTAATGATACGATTTATTCAACGTTTACTTAAATATACATCAATAAAACATATTGATTATCAATTATTAATTGATTCATTGGGTAAATTACGTGAAATAGCAAAAAAAAATTAAATGAACAAAGTAGAAAAACGGAAAGACATTTATCGATGTTTAATATTGTTCATATTATTGATAATTGTCGAGTAAGAAAACGATTCCGACAGTATTAAGTATGTTTTATTGTCGTTAAATTTTAGTTAGAGTTTCTCGCTGTACATCATGATTATATAGAAAAATTTCAAGTTATTGAACTTCAACAAGAATTAACAACAATACAACTACATTTAAGTCGTTTTCTTTTCTCCGATTGTCTTGAATATATGTGAAAAGCATTCAATATGACAATATATTCCACTTATTCAATTGGGGAATATTCAAAGTTTATTTGATATTAATCCATCATCATTAGCAATTGATGATAAAATTATTGACTGTTTTTGTTTTTTGTAGAACTCGCGTTACGTTTTTCTTTTCGAAGAAAAATAGAATGAGTGTAAGTTTTAGAGACATGCGACACGAAAATTTGAAAGTTTGCCGAATTCTTACTCATCATATTTTCCATTATAATTTATTTCACATTTCTCATGGCATCTTGATAGTGATCATTTATGAATGTGATCATTATAGACTTTTACTTTAAGAGTACCAACTATAAGAGATCAGACCCATACTCAACGAGCTCTATCGAGAACTATGCGAAAAGCAGTTATCTCAACTGCCACTAAAGGTTATATATTGTATGACTTTAAGTGTATAAATAAAAGAAAACGAATATTGAAGAAGTTTTTAGATGTGATACAATTCAACAGTGGAGTAGTTCTCTCTAGACAAAACCCATACTCACACCCTTTACGGGAAATAGTGAAGGAAAGTCATCCGAAAGACGTAAAGAAAATCAAGGATAAAAAAAAGTATGAAAATCATATTAACTTCAAAAACAAAAACGGGTAAAATTTGATTTCTCATGTATTCATTTATAATCTGGTAGAAATTTTTCACTTCAAATATTTGGGAGGAGTATAATGAGACTGAAGAACACATGTGAGTTCTACATTATAGTCCTCAACGAGCTGCACTGACACAATCTCTATTTTTATTTAAATAGAATTTTTCTAATTCAAGAAATTGAACCGTTTGGAATACTTTGTTCAATTGATGGTCATACACATATCTTCATTATCATCGATTTCAACATTATCGAATAGTACTCATCATCATGGAAATAAGAAAATCTATGTACTTTATCAGTTAGCTAAAGCGATTCTCATAGTGTACAATTTTTATTTTTGGCCTTCACTTATTCAAATATTACTTGAAAATTCAGACATTGATTCAGATTGACTTTCAACTAGTTGTCTAAATTTATTAGATTTAGCACTTAAACGTTTTGAAAATTTTCCTTTTTTTTAAATTGATTAATATTGAATAAATATATTTATATATGTTTAAATTTTAATGGTTTTCATAAAGCAAAGAAACGAGTAAGTGAAGCTGTTTTTATTCAATCCAGAACCTAATAAATAGTTAACAAAAAAAACTAATTGTCCAATTTATTTATTAGAAGACGAATGGTCAAATAGTTTCGATTCAAGTAAACAAATGAGTGTATCATCAAGACAAGTAGGTATTTCAAATGAGAATTTCTCATAATTAAACTAATACATTCAAAAAATTCCGACTCATTGAACAAATGAAAGAAATCGGAAATGTGTGTGCTCATAAAGACTAGTGTTTCAATAGAATGATTATTTTGCTCAGCTTGAGTGACATTTACTCAATGACGAATATATTTATGATCAAGTCAAAATTTTCAAATATATTATTTATTCGTTCTTGTTGTCTACCTGTTGATATTGATTACATTTTGAATAATTAATATTTTAAGTTTTTTTTTTATTCAGCTTATGAAATAGTATGGTGACCGAATATTCTGATTGTTTTTTTTTCGTTGTTTTGACTTTATTGATATATTAAATCTTGAGAGAAACGAATGAAATAAGAACTATGGTTTGGTTCACTGGATATAGCTACGAGGAAAGTAAAAGCGACTTCTACTGAATCACTTTTAAAGTAATTCAAAACTAACTGTATTGAAGCCCGAATGAAAATTTAATAGATGAACAATTCATACAATTGTGTAGGATTCTATAAACATCTCTAAAGTTATCATGATAACATAGGATACAAAAGCTTTGACACTAATTATTCCTTTATGTAGTGGTGAGTTAAGCTTACATTAATTGAAGTTTGCACGAAACCAAATCAATATTTTCATCATTCATAACTTGTTTAAATTGATGATGCAACAGATTTTAAGTCTGAAAACTGAATCTATTTGAAAAAATTTTCGCTCGTGAATCCTTGAAACTAAAGTCGGCACACACTTCATTACCGGAACAAATCAATATAATATATATATATATATATATATGGGGGTTACCAACCTGACTGATACCCCGTTTTGATA